GTCAGCGCCTGTCACACTGCGTGTTCTGCCTGTGTTTGTGTGTGTGTGTGTGGAGACTCCTCCCTCAGTGTGCAAGATCTGGACTATAGTGATTGATGAGTTTATTATGACTTAAAACATGGATTCTGCACACACAGAGCGGGGCCTTCCCTTTCTGAATTAGTGAGGTGCCGGTGCCGTTTCACAGGACGTGGTGTTCCCATCAAGTCCTGTCCTGGCAGGAACAGTTGTGGGGGGTTTTTCCCCAGTTCTGAGGGGCAACGAGGGGCCGGACCAATGCATCGTCACTGGGCAGAGGCACCTGGGGCCTGCAACTCTCCTAACACAGAGAAATGAATACTTACGGGGACTTTAATCTGGAGAAGAAAGTGTTCAGAAATCAAGGTTTTCAAATACTTGAACTGCGAATGTGTGCCAGAGGGCGCAGAGGCGGTCAGCTCAGCCAGACGTAGACAGAGGTAAATGGTGCTCAGCTCAGCCAGACGTAGACAGAGGTAAACAGGTAGACACACAGAATGGAGTCACCAGCGATGGGCAAGGCGAGGTGACAGGGACAGGGTTTACCTGCCACTCGACACAAGCACACACAGGGGACATTGCACATGCGTGGTCACTTGTTTTCCAGACACTGGTCATCAGGCAGGGGGGCCGTCATTCCTACGAGATGGGCACCTGGCAGGCGTGCCCTCTGCTCATCCCAGGCCCCTCTGGAGTCTTCAGACTGTGAGGAAGGAAGGCAGTGGGGTCCTCGGGAAGCCTGGAGACCCCGAGTTAAGGAAGGCAGGAAGGGCAGCTCTGACAGCCAGGGAGAGCTCCACAGATCTAGAAGGGCCCCGAGAATATTCAGTGCTGGTCACCGAGTGCAGAGGGGAATCTGCCTGGGGCCAGGGAAAGGACCCCCAGGATCAGTAGGAGCAGCAGCCTGGCTGGCACCAGGCAGGGCACCGGCTTTCACAGGAAGGAGGGCAGCCCGGCCACACAGAGCGTGGACTCAGAGCATCCGGCCTCAGCCCTGGAGAAGAGCGACCCTGAGACCAAGTGCTGCTCAGACTCACAGATCTCACAATCGAAACAGAAGAGACGTGGCTGTGTCCGGTAACAAAGCTTAAGAACACTGACAAGATGCTTGTCATGTCAAACAGCACCAAGTAAGGCGAACCCCAGAGCGTGGCCCTGCACCGAGCGTGCACAGGCGGGCAAAGGAAAATGAATCAACCAAACCAGCCCCAAATGTAGATGCTGCTCTCATAGACAGGGAATTTGTTCTCGTATGTTCGGAAATTAAGTGGAGACATGGAAGTTATTAAAAAGCACCAACTAGAGATGATATTACAAGTCTAACATGAAAACAACACTGAGTGGCTTTAAGATTAGACATTGCCATAAAGATGAGTGAACACAGAAAAATAAAAAGAAATCATCTGAAGGAGACAGGAAAGATAATTTTAAAAGCAAAAACAAAGCATTTGTGGGCTGTAGGACAACTCCAGGTGGTCAGTTCTACATGTCATTAAGTTCCTAAAGACGGGAAAGAGGGAAGAAGAAAAAAATAGAATAAATAATGACAGAAAATTCCCCAAATTTGAAAAAATTAGAAACACACAGATCCAAGAATCCTAATGTCCCACAAGCACAACATATAAATAAAGCTACCCTAAGGTACCTCATAATCAGATGGCTTAAAATCAGTAAGAAAGCCAGAGATCTTACATGTGTCTATAGAAAATGGCACATTTTGTCCAGCGGAACTCAGGCAAGGCTAACGGAAGATTACCTGTGGGCGGCTGCCATTAAAATGAGGAGGGAAACCCTCTTAGGACTTTATGCCCGGTGAGAATATATTTCAAAACCAAAGGTGTAGGAAAGATGTCACCAGGCACAAAAATGCTGAATGAATTCATTCTCAACAGCCCCGAAAAGTGAATGTTGGAAGAAGTTCTGGAGAGGGATGGAAACGGACGCCAGACGGTCACATTCATCTACACAACGCACCCGGGGGCAGCGGGGGCACTGACGTGTGTGCGAGTGTGTGTTGTTATGTAAAATGTTTTATAAAAGACTTGACTGTTTAAGCAAAAGCAAAAACGTGTGAGGATTGACAATGTAAGCGAAATAAAACATAGCAATGATGCACGCAGGCCAGGGAGGAGTGAGAACACAGGTCTGTGGTTCTACAGCTGCGCTGGAAGTGCCATAATCTCCTTAAATTATCTGCAGATTCAACAAAATCCTAAGCAGACTCTCAGAAGAATCTTCTAAAGGAATTTACAAGCTACTTCTAAACTTCATATAAAAGCGGAAAGGCCTAAAGTAACCAAAGTGATTTTGAAAAAACAAAGAGTAAAACAACCTGATTTCAAATATTATTGTTCAGAAATTATAATTTCTAAAATGTGGTATTAGCATAAAGTTGGAAAAATAAAGGAGCTCAATGCAGAGCCCAGCTATGGACCCAGATGTGTTTATGGACAAATGGATTTCATGAAGGTGCACAGGCGGTGAAATGGGGAGAGGACAGGCTTTTCATCCAGTGGCGCTGGATATTTGCATGCAAAGCAGAACAAAATGAAACAAACCAAACTCTGCATAGCTTGCTCCATCTATAAAATAATCCAAAATTAATCACAGACCTAAATGAAATCTAAACCACAAATCTCTAGAATTAGACATACAGAAAATCTTTGTGACCTCACGTTAGTCAAAGATGTCTTAAGAATAATCCATAAAAGAATAAAAAAAACTTGGACTTCATCAAAATTAAGAACTTGTGCTCTTCAAGAGATACTTTGTTAAGAGAATAAAAGAACAAAAGGAAGACTGGAAGAAAACATTTGCAAAGCATGTAAAGAGCTTCTATCCAGAATATCACAACGGACTCTCAACACTCACTAAGAAAACAAGGGATCCAACTCAAACAAATGTGCGCAAGGTTTGAGTAGACATTTCTCTAGAGCAGGTGCTCAGATGGCAGGTGAGCCCATGAGAAGGCCATTCACGCCATTCGTCACCAGGTACACACAGGTGGAAACGAGGGTGACAGACCGCCGCACACCTGCTGAGTGGCTGAAATTGAAGATGGACCGGACCACGTGCTGGCAAGCATGCAGGAAAACTGGAATTCTCACACACTGCTGGTGGGAACGTGAGAGTCGCAGTCACTTTAGAAAAGCGTAGCAGCTTCTCAAAAAACATTCAGCAGCCTCTCCATAGTTTTCAGCTATTTCCTTACCGATGTTTACCCAAGGTCAATGGAGCCATTTCTACAGAAAGGCTTGTCCTGGAATGCTCACAGCTGCTTTGTGTGCAATAAGGCCGAAGCGGGCAGATCACCTGAGGCCGGGAGTTCGAGACCAGCCTGACCACCATGGAGAAACCCCAACTCTACTAAAAATACAAAATTATCCAGGTGTGGTGGCATGTGCCCATAATCCCAGCTACTTGGGAGGCTGAGGTAGGAAAATTGCTTGAACCTGGGAGGTGGAGGTTGTGGTGAGCTGAGATCACGCCCTTGCACCCCAGCCTGGGCAACAAGAGCAAAACTCTAACTTGAAGAAGAAAAAAAAAAAGGAAGAAAAATTGGAAACAATCAAAATGTTCATCAATGTGGAAACGGAGAGGCAGACGGTGTCCTCACGCACAACGGCAGGGCTGTGTGGCTAATGTGTGGGCTTCCTTCATTATCTCCCAGAGCACACAAGGATAAGACATGCTTTTAAATGTTAAAGACAAAACCTATCGAGACAGAACCCGGTCCAGGGTTACTACCATACATAACTGTATCTGTCGTGCAAAACGCTACTTCTGCTTTGTATCACTTCCTTAAATCTCAACCTGAAGTTGGATTTTAAAAACTAAATTCACATCCATGATCTTTGTCTAAGTTCATAAATATTCGAGTATTTTATATGTGGTACTATAATGACAAATTTGTCCATGCGATGTTTAAAATCTACTTTACTTAAATGAGTTTCACATCAAACTGGATTAAACAGATTCCGTATGAAGAACTGTCATCGTGTTCGGATATTTTCACACACAGAGGTGGGTGCGTGAATTGCCAAGTTACTAAAAGAGCTTCCCATGAGCTGAATGTCGGTGGGCACAGTGAAGCCCCAGCACTGCCTGCGGGTCACAACACAGGGAGTCCCCCCGGCCCTGCCAGGCCTGTTCACTGCGAGGCCCTCCCACCGCCAGGGAGCAAGATGGGGAAGCCTCGTCCTCAGCAGGTCTGTGCCCCGGAACGGCGGGGCCGTGACTGACATGTGAGGCCACAGTTTTTACACCCAAACACCACTAAATCAAAACCTCGAAGTTCAGGTTTACTGGCTAAAGTCTTCTTACACAAATTTTTATCAGAGAATTTTCCACTTAAAATCAGTGTAATGTGTACATATGGGGAACTGGCTCTGAGTTTAAAAAGTGGCGGGAAGTCATTTAAGTGGTGGGAATTGTGTTTTCTTTATTGTTGAAGATGATTTGTAAATGGTAATACATTTGGTGAAACACAGCACTGGGTTCCTATGATTTTTTAAACTAGGACTAGGAGATTCGATACACCTGAAGAGAGATTTAAAAGTATTTGAAAGCTTTTTCTGACTGAATTCCTTGCCCAGGTGAAAAAGGAGGGTTTTTGAACTGCAATGTTTATTCAAAAACATATTACCACTTACAACAGGAAGGGCATGGGCCCAGCTGTCCTGTCTGCCCACGTGATTCCGGTTCAGAGCCTGATCGTTTCTGCCACACTTCAGCTTTCCCAACACTTCCCCGGGTTTTGCCCTCCAGAGGCTCCTCTTCAAGGACCCACGGATGCCTGCGGCGCCTTCCACAGTATCCAAGAGCCGTGCCTTCCACCCAGCACTGTCACCTGAAACAAGCTACTGTGTGCAATTGTTGACACTGTCTTCCTGACTTTTCACGGGAAACAGCCCTCTCGCTTCCTGTGATGCAGGCTGGGGAGAAAAATCGTTTCCCTTGTGGACGTCCATTCTGAACCCTTCCAGTGGGGGAGAGAAACCGTTTCCCCTGTGGACGGCCACTCCGAGCCCTTCCAGGTGGGAGAGAAACTGTTTCCCCTGTGGACGGCCACTCTGAGCCCTTCCAGGTGGGGTAGAGACCATTTCCCCTGTGGACGTCCACTCCGAGCCCTTCCAGGTGGGGGAGAGACCGTTTCCCCTGTGGATGTCCACTCCGAACCCTTCCAGGTGGGGGAGAGACCGTTTCCCCTGTGGACGGCCACTCTGAGCCCCTGCAGGTGGGCTGCCCTCACACTCTGAGCCCTTCGCTGCCCTCACCTGTCCAGGATGCCGCAGGTGTCAATCAGAAGGTCGCTGAAGTTCCCCACAGCGCCCTGCTGCACCGAGATCAGATCCACCTCCTGGCCGTCGATGGAGATGAGCCGCAGACACCCCTGGAATCCGCCCAGTGGTCCCAGCGATCGGCTGCAGTCAGAGCCAGAGCCGTGAGCGGGGCACCCTGAGTTTCAGAGGCACAGGAGGCAAGAGGAAGAGGGTAATGGGTGGACACAGTGTCGGGGTGTGGGCGGCCGCGTACACTCCCCCTGACACCAGGCTGCTTTCCATCTGCGGGCGGGGCTGCCTGCTCATCGGGAAGAGGGAGGATGAAAGGTCAGCAGAGCATAAAATAACCCTGGAGGCAAGAATGTAAGAAGATGAGAAACCCTGTGAATTTAAAATTCACCCTGAACCCAATGCTCTTTCTTAAAGTATACTAGAAGTTTAACTCCTTTTACCATGACAGATCTTAAGGGAAAAACCTAAATGCACATGGATTTACAATTAGAAACGAAATAACAGGTCTTATCATTGTACATACAAACAGCTAAAATGTTAGAGTCTGGAGAATATCGGGCCAGAAGGTGACTGGGCACCCGCACTGAGGCGGGTGTGCCAGCCACACACCACAGCAGCCTCGCCCGTCAGCTCAGGTGTCCCAAAGACTTGCTTCAGCAGAAAAAGAAAAACTTACACGTGTTTTTATAACAACCATTTTTGTTTTGGGTGAGTTGGTCAAACATATAATCAAAAATTAAATTTCAACATGACATCTTAATACCGTCAAAAAGTAACAGTCATGCAATAGCAGATACATCATCCAAACGTGTGGTGAAAGAAGGAAGCGTGCATTTGATTCTCCGAGTTAGGCCAGCATCGTTTTCCAACCACAGCCCTGGACCCCAGGAAGCAGCTCCCGAACCTCACCTCTGCCTGGCCGCCTGGGACCCGTGTCCAGCTTCCTGAGGTCTGTCCTACCCCCTCCCTCCCTGCCCCCAACCCTGCCAAGGGGAAGGAGCCGCTGCCAGAGGGGAGCCTGCAGCCACAGGCCAGGAAGAGGGGCTCAGCAAGGCGGCCGCTGGGGTCCCTGCGTGAGGAGCACACGACACCCCAAGTGGGTCAGGGGGTTTCCTAATCAACACCAAATGCAGAGAGGCCCGGTCCCATGCATCTCAGCACTCATGTGGTTTCATGCCTGTGACGGTTACTACTGAGTGTCCCCTTGGTTGGACTGAAGGATGTGAAGTACTGATGGGTGCGTCTGTGAGGGTGCTGCTGAAGGAGACCCACGTTCGAGTCAGTGGCTGGGGAAGGCAGATCCACCCTTAGGCTTGTGGGTACCACTTAATCAGCTGCCAGCAACTATAAAGCAGGCAGGAAAACATGAAAGAGATACGGCCTAACCTCCCTGCCCACATCTTTCTCCCGTGCTGGACTCTTCCTGTTCTCGAGCATCGGACTTCAGGTTCTTCAGCCTTGGCACTAGGACGGGCTCTCCTTGCTCCGCAGCCTGCAGACGGCCTACTGTGGGACCTTGTGATCGTGTGAGTTCATGCTTCATAAACCCCCTTTCGATAGTTCTGTTCCGTTCCTCTAGAGAACCCTGATCCAATGCCAAACATTCTTGAGAGAATCTTGTTTTCAGACCTTGGCTCTTCTACCTCACAAAATAATGACTCATTAACCTCTAGCACCAGAGCATGATTTTCCCCCTAATTACAGATAAAAAGTACTCGATAATTGTTTTAAATTTAGAAAAGCTTCCACTTATTTAAACATGAGAAAGTACTATACCATATTCCTAGGTAAAACGTAGGTTTATGATCATTAGATGCTCTCTGCTTAACTGAAATAGTCATTTTGGTAAGCATGGAGTTCACCCACCAAATGTAAGGGTTTTTTTTTTTTAAGAACTCCCTTGTGGCCCTCTGTTAATTGTCAGTTGTAAATGTCTAAGAACTGAGGATAAGGGAGTAAGAATCACACTGCATCTTAATTCTTGCCCCAGTCATACTGGTTTTCCATGAAAATTACACGCTAAGTTTTCCTCTATGTTTCAATAACAGTCGTAACTATTCAACACTTTCTCTCCCAATAATTTACATTCGTATGACAGATGAGCTCATGCATGCCTCGCCTCTCTCCAGTCATTGTAAAGCACATTACTCTGCTTTATATCAGCCTCATGGAAATTTGAGATTTGAAATTAAAAATGAGGTCACAGGAACCTGGGTAGACTCTGAGGCCTTCCCTTGGTCATTTTCTCACTTTAGGGGTGAAACCCGAAGTTCAAGTGGTTCGGCGTCCACCGAAGCTTGGGCATAATAGATTTGGCTTCTCTCTGTCGACAGAGTCTATTTTACTTTTTCATGATGGGTTGAGCTCCCTTATCAAAAATGCCTGGGGCCCAAAATGCTTCAGATTTGGGATATTTTCAGATTTTGGAATATTTGCATTAAACTTACCAGATGAGCACCTCAAACCTGAAAATCCAAGATGCAAAATTCCCCCATGCTGGCCGGGTGCGGTGGCTCCGCCTGTAATCCCAGCACTTTGGGAGGCCAAGGTGGGTGGATCGCTTGAGGCCAAGAGTTCGAAACCAGCCTGACCAACGTGGCGTAACCTGTCACTACTAAAAATACAAAAATCAGCCAGGCATGGTGGCGGGTCCCTGTAATCCCAGCTATTCAGACACTGAGGCAGGAGAATCACTTGAACCTGGAAGGTGGAGGTTGCAGTGAGCTGAGATTGTGCCACTGCCCTCCAGCCTGGGTGACAGAGTGAGGCTCTGTCTAAAAAAAAAATGCTCCCATGAGCATTTCTTTCGAGCATGATGTTGGCACTCAAAACGCTTTGAGTTTTGCAGCATTTTGAATTTTGGGGTTTTGGATGTGGGGTGCTCCATCTGCCTTTAACCGACCAGGGCTGGAAGGACAGTCACACCGTACAAACCTGGAGTAACCTTCAGATTCCAGAACAGTAATGGCGCTGAGCTTCTCCCTTTTTCTTAAAACATATTCTCTCACTCTTTCCGAACAAACTCAGTTCTGAAACTTTGAACAAAAGTGGCGATGGCGGTCACAGGGAATGGCCGTGTGGCTTCATGGAGAAATGCGTGTGCAGCTGGCTGACGGCTCCACCAAGAGGGAGCAAGGAGAGCCAAGAAGGGGTCGGGTCCACCCGCCCTCCGCAGACACGAGAGCCCCCAGCACCGAGATGTGCGGCAGAGGCGTCCGGCCTGGAGCCCCGTGCGGAAACACCGAGATGTGACGATTCCTGGGGAAAGCCTAATCCTGGCTCCTCAGGGAGGCCGCAGGTTCTGCAGCTCCGAGGGGGTGAGCCGACCTGTGACCTGGTGTCTGCACCAGGAATTCTGACCCGGGACACTCAGAGAGCTCAGAGGGCAGCCCACAGACCAGGTGCCACCTGCCCAACACCAGCACAGCGTGAAGCCGATGGCTCTGGCACCCACCAGGGTCTACGGGGATTTGCCATCTGCATCCTCTGCTCAGGGTCTGATGGAATAAACATGGAAAGTTGCCCCAGAATGCAGTGGAGCTGCCTGAAGCTCAATTCACGAGGAAAGGAAGGGAAGGTGACCAGTAAGCCAGTGACGGCCCCATGTGCGCGTGACAGGGTGGCACTGCTGTGTTCCTACCTGGACCGCCTGCGGCCTAAGGAGCCCGACTGAGTAGCTGGAGGCCAGCGCGGACCGCCGACGTGTGGCAGTCACACTCAGGGCCGGCCACACATGCCTCCCGCCGCAGCGTTACTGACCGCCGTCCTGACTCGAGGGCAGTGCTGGAGCTCTCGGTCAGGGCTGTGCCGCAGGAGAGGCAAGGGGAAGGACCCCAGGAGGGTCTCCAAATGTGGCGTACGTGGTATGAAAAGACTCAGGCAGCAAGCCCTGAAAACACAACCTGGCAAACGAGATCCTGGTGGTGAGGGGCTCTCAGCTGTTAAATGTAAATTACACTCAGTAGAGCTGCTTGGGAAAAAAGTGAAGTTCTTTATATTTGCTGAACTGCTGGAGAATTAGCCACACATGATACAGCAACAGTAACAAAAACAATCCCAGCCACCACGCGCAAGGCGGGGAAGAGGAACACGAGGAGCCTGCGAATTCTCAGCCCCTTCACTCACCTCCAAAGTGGTAGGCATCGCCCGGGTGGACCCCCACAGGTACCGTGCTGTGGACGGTGGAGGCCACGTCATCGTCCACCATCACGCTCAGGTGGCCCCACGTGGACGTCACTGAGACAGAATGCCATTGCCCATCATTTAATCCAACACCTGTGGAAACCAAACACAGCCATAAACCACAAACCTTGTAATTAGTTAGTTTGCTTATTTAATTAATTAATTAATTTAGAAACAGAGTCTCATGATCTCAGCTCACTGCATCCTCCACCTCCTGGGTTCAAGCGATTTCACCTGCCTCAGCCTCCCAAGTAGCTGGGATTATAGGCGCCCACCACCATGCCTTACTAATTTTTGTATTTTTAGTAGATATGGTGTTTCACCATGTTGACCAGACTGGTCTCAAAATCCTGACCTCAAGTGATTTGCCTGCTTCAGCCTCCCAAAGTGCTGGGACCACAGGCATGAGCCACCATGCCCAGTGTAAGTACTTTTAAAAAGTGACACAAATCAGTGATTACAACAAGCACAGAAACCCGAACAAGGAGAGTGGAGGGAGCTCAGCCCATTCTCTTCCTCACCAGGGCACATTCTGCCTCGTCCCTAATGTGTGACATGCCCCTCACCTGGCCCAGGACACCTTCCTGCTCCCACTCATGCAATTTGACTTTTGGGGAGGCACACAGAAATATCAAACTCTCCTCAACTTCAGCATACATTTTAAAAAACCCTATGTGATTTTTCTCCTATTTCACAAACTTCAGGTAAGGACCCCGAATCTCCGTAGTAGCTACTGTGGTAGCTGAACCACCATGCGGCTGCGCTCTGTAAGGCAGAAGGTCAGTCCATGTGGCTCGTCTCTCCTCACACGTCTGAAATGGCCACAAATCCCTCGCCTGGACAGAAAGGGACTGATGCCTCCAGACCACTCATGTCAGCGCACAGCTCCGCTGGGAGGCTGTTAATACTGAACCTCAGCCAGGAGCACGGCTATCAGGGATGCGTGGGGTCCCTGGAAGGTGGGGCTGCACCAGGGGTCAGGGAGGTGGAGGAGGCTGAGGAGGCTTGGGGCTGGGGGTCCTCAGTGCCTGACCTGGGGGACCTGGCTCTGGCGTTGCTGGTTCTGGGCAAGATAGGCTTTCTCGTGTTTTCCACCCTCCCTGTCCTATGCTGACACGGCAGGGCTGCAGCGAAGGTGCACGGCTGGGTGGGCTGGGTCGGCGGAGGAGGGCGCAGCTCCACGGGAAGCTGGGACTCCTTAGGGTCACCAGATTCCCAGCCTGTCAGACGAGGCCAGACATCTGGGTTTCACTGCTGAATATCTTGATTTTAAAATGTTGGCTGTTGTTTTAAAATATTATTAAAAAAGAGAAAAAGCTCTGTCCAACAAACACATAGCTGAGGGCAGCCGCTGCCCAGGACTGGCAGTGTTGGGAGCCCTGAAGGCAGAGGCAGAGCCAACCAGAAAAGGCATCCGTTAGGCATTTACTCATTCAGTACAATCTCAGTCGTGAATCGCTCTTCAATTACGGGTTATTCCTTAGGATCCCATCGCCTTTCAAATGACTTTCAGTTTGATATTCACACGGGGAGTAAAGATTGAAAAGCAATTATGGGCTATTCCTCAGGGTACCATTGCCTTTCAAATGACTTTCAGTTTGATATTCACACGGGGAGTAAAGATTGAAAAGCATTTTATGGCATGCATAATTATATGTGACCCCTAATTGGTTGAAATAATATTTTTAAACAGTTTAGCATAAAAATTTTGCAAAGTTGGAAATTATGTTGAAAACTTTACCTTCTAATTCAAAACTTTGTGCAAAATTAGAACTCAATCCAGCTCCATGCTCAACACAATTTAACTATGATTCCATGTAACAATCTTAATGCATATCAGATTACCAGTTTAAATCTCTAATAACTAAGAAAAAAAACCTTATTTAATAGAAAATTGAATTTATTATAATAATTCATAAGTATGTTATTCTAGTTAAAAAGTCGCTGTATATAGTTCTTATAGCTGTGCTTAAAATAGCACCTGAATTATCAAATGCTGATTGTGTGAGCCATAGGTTAAAAAATTTTGCTGGGCGCAGTGGCTCAAGCCTGTAATCCCAGCACATTGGGAAGCCAAGGCAGGCAGATCATGAGATCAGGAGATCGAGACCATCCTGCTGGTCAACAGGGTGAAACCCTGCATCTACTAAAAATAAAACATTAGCTGGGCATGGTGGCAGGTGCCTGTAGTCCCAGATACTTGGGAAACTGAGGCAGGAGAATTGCTTGAACCCAGGAGGTGGAAGTTGCAGTGAGCCAAGTTCACGCCATTGCACTCCAGCCTGGGTGACACAGTGAGACTCTTGTCTCAAAAAAAGAAAAAAAAAATGTGTATATTGTGAGAAAACTGTCAAATCATCTATGGTTTAATCAGATATGCTTCAAATATAACATTTGCTTGCTTTGCTAAATCTAGCAATAAACAAGAACTTTTTTAAAAAAGAAAACTAAAAGGTGGAAATTGGTAGGAAAAATTCTGGTTAAATTGTCCAAACTTTGATTTATCAGATGAATGGGTTCTGAAAATGCATGCACAGCATGGGAATGACAGTGAATCATGACCGTCCCTTGTTGGGTCTGGCTGGGGACTGCCCTTTGTCCCTCCTCACGTGAGCCTCTCCATGGAGGGCTCACAACACAGCAGCCAGCTTCACCCAACAGAGCGAGAGCAACTCCCCAGTCAGAAGCTCTGGCTCCGCATCTTAACCTCCTAAGTGACAGCTATCACTCTGCCACCTTCTATCTATCAGACAAGCCACCAAATCCAACTCACCCTCTGCACAGAGCCGACTGGTGGCAGCAACCCCAGGGGATGGGGTCCCTAGGGCCACCTGGGTGCCCACCAGAGACTCATAATAAACTCCTTCTGCAGGAGAGTAACGTTATTATAAATATTGAAAAATCTATTATAATCTTATTCCCAGCAGTTTTTCAAATATTTACACCAATAGACTAGTTAAAAATGAGACTGGCTTCGTGGTGCTTATTAAAGTAGCATCGCACTGATGCAGGTTCTTTCAGACGTTTAAAATTAAGCCATGCTTGAAATCTCTGCCAAGGACATCAGATCCATCACCATGAGCCATGTGATCATGACACACTTACTATAAATTAACATTTTTCTGATGATAATCTCGAAAGTTTGCTCACTGCTAAGATAGTGAATCTGATTTCTTTCTTTCTCACAAACCTAACTCATGTCAATTTATCTCATTATTAACATTAAGCAGGTGATCAAAGGACGGTGCTTAAAAATATCAAAGGGACTAGTAATTTTGGAGCCTCCACTTATTTTTCTGTGATGCAGGGAGTAGAAACAGAAGTAAGTTTTAGAGCTATCTATAGAAGCGTGCATGCCTGCTTTTCTCCCCATTTCGCTTCCAAATCTCTTTCTTGCTCAGTTTCTGGCGATGTCCTATTTTGTTGCTTTGGACACAGACGATGAGACAAGAGAGAGTGGACCCAGCGTTCCTTAAACATTCATGTCTGATGATTCCATGGAAGGCCTGGGCGTTATTCTAAACCAGCAAATGTGTGACCCTGATCCCTCATCAAAGATTGCAGCGGCAACATGCAGAAGCAGTGCAGCCCTGCTAAAAGCTGTGCCCCAGCGTGGACTACGCGGGCCACAGCCTGTCAGCGATGGCACACCTGACCGTGCCAAGGGTACCGTGGAACTCAACCTCAGGGGCAGCACCCAGCAGCCAGCGCTCCCTCCATCCTGTGGAAAGGTGTTTATCGAGAGGATGTACGTGAAGGAAAACGTGTTACTGTGTACAGATCAGCTCCCTGACACCTGCCTCGCCTCCCCAGTGTAGACACTCCATCCCAAGTGTAGACCCTCCAGGCCCCAGCACCTGCGGGAGGAGGCAGAGCTGGCCTGGGCACTCCCTCCGGGAAGGGCATGGGGAAAGGTCCCTCTCTTGGCCCCGGCCTTCACGCATCCCCTCTCCTTCATCTCAGTCATGGCAGCTCTCTGCGTAATGGAGGCATCTCTTCCCGCAAATGTGCAGACACCAGGGAGACCGCAGCCCTGGGCGCAGCTCTCAGATGCGACGCCGCCTGCAAACCCAAACGGGTTGGGCTCCAGGATCCCACTTCCCGGGAGCCGGCACCCTTTCTCCGGAACCCTGGTGCTTCCCGTGGTGTAGACAGCGGGCGCCTGTGTTCCGGGGAAGCGGGGCTCCCGGGGATCCCTAAAATCCGCGCTCCCTGCAGAGCTGGGCCCGGACCCCGAGTTACCTGTGCGGCCGCCGCTCTGCGCCTGTCCCGGGGATGCGCGCGGACCCACGTGGAGCCTCCCGTCCTGGAGCGCGAGGAAGAAGCCCCCGGAGCCCAGGCGGGTCCCCCAGGACAGCAGCAGCCCCGCGCGGTTCCACGTGCGAAACTGGAAGCTGACGGAGGCCCCGTCCGCCCCGGGGGAGCCGGGCAGCGCCAAGTGGCTCTGCGCGCTCAGAAACGTGGCGGGCACGGTCTGGGGGTGCGCACAGGCAAAGGCGACGGTTCCCTGGGAGGGGGAGATGGAGGGGGGCGCTGAGGATCCTCCCGGTCAGGCGATCCCTCCCGGCCCCACCAGGCTTAGCCTGTTCCCATCTGGATGCCCCGCGTCCCCTACTCCACGGTGCCCACGGACCCCACATTTGCACCCAGCAGACCCCAGGACCCAGCCGAGCCCACAGCCCCGCTCCCAGCCTCTGCTGCCCTGGGTCCGGCCCACCCTCTTCCCGGAGACGCAGACGTGGTAAAAACGTGTTTTCCACTGGGCGTGGGGAGCTCGCGTCCTGCGTGCCGGGGTGAGCGGCCCAGGGTCCCAGGGCGGAGCCACAGACGGACCCGGATTTCGGGGCAGGCCTCAGTGGCCGACTCCTGCCCCGGGGCTCAGCCCACGGTGAAAAAAAGATAAATTTCAGGAGTGGACCCCATTAACGAGCCCGGAAGACTGGGGTTTTAACCAGGATACCAGGTTAAGGGATCCGGGTAAGGACAGCACTGAGGCTGCAAATGTGCCCTGAGGCTGGTCCTGGGTCCAGCCGGCCTCCCTGGGTGCAAATGCACCCACCCGTTCCCTGTCAGTCAACGAAACCGTTGCACTGGCGTGTTAGCGACATGAAAGCACAGCATGTTAGTTTCATGCTCATGTTCAAACTTCCATGGCAGAAGCGTTATTCCAAATGTCTCGAAAACACCAAGATATTTAACCCCAGGGAACCAGGGGCTCCGGTATGTGCCATGGTCCTGAAGCAAAGCTGCTTGCAGGGAATTATGCGCCAAAAGACTGGCCTCTGGGGAGGGATGATGCCTCCACGGAAGGAAATCATGCACTGAGGCTTAATTTTATATTTTAATCAAAAACAGGTCTCTTCGTCTCATGCCGGAAACAGCATGAGTTGTGCTCACGCTGGTCTGCTTGTGCTCGCGGCTGCTCGGAGGAGGCTGTTAAAGTCACGAGCCTCACCTTAGACAAGGACACGGTTGGGAGTTGGAGGCACCGACTTCCTCGGGGGACTCTTACCATGACGAGGATCTGTGGTCCCTGCTGCTTGGCCAAACCAATGACATCCTCTCCATTAAAATTAATGTTTTCTAGGCATCCACGAAAGTTTTTCCTTGGAAACACCATTGGCTTTCCTGGCGCTAAAATCCCTCCAAAGCTGATCTTAGAAAGAAACATAACATCAGTAATATTCTTTAGTGATTTTCTGACAATTTGCTTAAAACATTTATGATTCATAAATGGGGCAGGCTTGGTCTAGATGGGTTAATTTTGTGTACTTCTATAAAATTATTCTGTTAATTTTGAATGACTCTAAGACATAGATTCTAAAACATCTTACATGAGCTGATGTCAACTGGCGCCAGAGCCTCTGCGGCTGTCATTTGGGGAAAAGGTAATTTAGCATCAAATGGAGCCCTTGGGAGGGGATGGGGCTGTTTGTACCGGAGCTGGACAGCAGGTGGAGGGTGGCCGGGACTCAGGGCCCTGAGGACACCGGCCCACCCTGCCAAAGGGAAACATTGCCAAACTCTTCCGGTTCTCTTAGAAAGTGATTTCCCAGTTACAGGGCTCATGATAGTGGTGAGGCTCACGCCCATGCTGCAAATGCTCCTGCGAGGGGACGGGGACGGCATCTGCAGCCCTGAACATCATGAAGGGCCCATCCACTGTGCTGCTCCTCCGGGGCCTAGATGGAGTTTGAGCTGCCAGGTCTGTGCAAAGGATGAGGAAGCCGCACCTCAGGGTCCAGGTCCGCATGGCACAGCTCCGCTGGTGCCCCGATGGGTCTCGAGTGCCTGTCCACCGTGAGGTTCAGGCCCTGGCCAGAGCACTCCAGCCGCACTGTGTGCCAGTGCCCATCATCCAGCAGGCTGCCCAGCGCCAGGCCACCCTGGCCAGGTGGTGAGGGTTGCGTGGCGTTGCCTGGGCAGAAGGAAGGAGATGCTGTCAGGTCCTGTCCAGAAGGGGAGGTCAGCACCCTGGCCCTGGGAGTGGCTGCATCTGACCTGGGCATGAGGCCCTCCCACCCTGGCAACCCCATCCTTGACCCTCTCTTTTCACCACCTTTCACGAGTCTGTCACAGACTCATTTTCCTGGAAAACCGTTGTCTGTGTTGTGGACTCTCCTTATTGCCGTGGCCGCCTTGTCCTCTGTAGCATGGGACAGTGGTGGTCAGTCAGGGATCATTGTCCCCAGGGCACATCGGGCCATTCTGGAGACATTTCTGATGGTCATGGCTTTGGGGCGCTCCTGGCGTTGGGAGCAGAGGGGGCAGAGAGCAGGACACTGTCCACCCCCCGCCAGTGCACAGGAGGGCCCTGCCCAGAGCATCATCTGGCCCCTGAACACAGGCTGCGCCTGTAAGGCAGAAGGTCAGTCCATGTGGCCTGCCTCTCACACGCCTGAAACGGCCACAAATCCTCGCTGACAGAAAGGGACTGATGCCTCCAGACCACTCATGTCAGCGCACAGCTCCGCTGGGAGGCCGTTAATACTGAACCTCAGCCAGGAGCACGGCTATCAGGGATGCGTGGGTCCCTTGGAAGGTGGGGCTGCACCAGGGGTCAGGGAGGTGGAGGAGGCTGAGGAGGCTTGGGGCTGGGGGTCCTCAGTGCCTGACCTGGGGGACCTGGCTCTGGCGTTGCTGGTTCTGGGCAAGATAGGCTTTCTCGTGTTTTCCACCCTCCCTGTCCCATGCTGACATGGTGGGCTGCAGCGCGTAATGGCTGGGTGGGCTGGGTCGGCGGAGGAGGGCACAGCTCCGGAAAGCCGACTCCTTAGGTCACCAGATTCCCAGCCTGTCAGACGAGAGGCCAAGACATCCGGGTTCTATTGAATATCTTGATTTTAAAATGTTGGCTGTTGTTTTAAAATATTATTAAAAGAGAAAAGTTCTTGTCCAACAAACACATAGCTGAGGCAGCGCTGCCCAGGACTGGCAGTGCTGGGGAGCCCTGAAGGCAGAGGCAGAGCCAACCAGAAAGGCATCCGTTAGGCATTTACCATTCAGTACAATCTCAGTCAGTGTGAATCGCCTTCAATTACGGGGTTATTCTTTCAGGGATCCCATCGCCTTTCAAATGACTTTCAGTTTGATATTCACACGGGGAGAAGATTGAGTGCCAATTATGGGCTATTCTCAGGTACCATTGCCTTCAAAATGACTTCAGTTTGATATTCACATTGAGTAAAGATTGAAAAGCATTTTATGGCATGCATAATTATATGTGACCCCTAATTGGTTGAAATAATATTTTTAAACAGTTTAGCATAAAAATTTTGCAAAGTTGGAAATTATGTTGAAAACTTTACCTTCTAATTCAAAACTTTGTGCAAAATTAGAACTCAATCCAGCTCCATGCTCAACACAATTTAACTATGATTCCATGTAACAATCTTAATGCATATCAGATTACCAGTTTAAATCTCTAATAACTAAGAAAAAAAACCTTATTTAATAGAAAATTGAATTTATTATAATAATTCATAAGTATGTTATTCTAGTTAAAAAGTCGCTCTATATAGTTCTGAAGAAGTTTAAAATAACACCTGAATTATCAAATGCTGATTGTGTGGAGCTATAGGTTAAGGCCTTGCCGGGCACAGTGGCTCAAGCCTGTAATCCCAGCACATTGGGAAGCCAAGGCAGGCAGATCATGAGATCAGGAGATCGGTGACCATCCTGCTGGTCAACAGGGTGAAACCCTGCATCTACTAAAAATAAAAAATTAGCTGGGCATGGTGGCAGGTGCCTGTAGTCCCAGATACTTGGGAAACTGAGGCAGGAGAATTGCTTGAACCAGGAGGCGGAGGTTGCAGTGAGCCAAGTTCACGCCATTGCACTCCAGCCTGGGTGACACAGTGAGACTCTGTCTCAAAAAAAGAAAAAAAAAATGTGTATATTGTGAGAAAACTGTCAAATCATCTATGGTTTAATCAGATATGCTTCAAATATAACATTTGCTTGCTTTGCTAAATCTAGCAATAACAAACAAGAACTTTTTAAAAAGAAAACTAAAAGGTGGAAATTGGAGAAAAATTTCTTCCACAAATTGTCCAAACTTTGATTTATCAGATGAATGGGTTCTGAAAATGCATGCACAGCATGGGAATGACAGTGAATCATGACCGCCCCTGCTGGGTCTGGCTGGGGACTGCCTTTGTCCCCCCTCTCACGTGAGCCTCCACAGCATGGAGGGCTCACAACACAGCACAGTTTCACCTAACAGAGCGAGAGCAACTCTGTGTCAGAAGCTCTGGCTCCGCATCTAACTTCCTAAGTGACAGCTATCACTCTGCCACCTTCATTCATCAGACAAGCCACCAAATCCAAACTCACCCTCTGTAACAGAGCCGACTGGTGGCAGCAAACTTTGTGATGGGGGTCCTAGGGCCACCTGGGTGCCCACTCAGAGACTCAATAAACTCCTTCTGCAGGAGAGTAACGTTATTATAAATATTGAAAAATCTATTATAATCTTATTCCCAGCAGTTTTTCAAATATTTACACCAATAGACTAGTTAAAAATGAGACTGGCTTCTGTGGTGGCTTATTAAAGTAGCATCGCACTGATGCAGGTTCTTTCAGACGTTTAAAATTAAGCCATGCTTGAAATCTCTGCTGGCTGACATCATAGATCCATCACCATGAGCCAGTGGATCATGACACTTACTATAAATTAACATTTTTCTGATGATAATCTCGAAAAGTTTGCTCACTGCCAAGATAGTGAATCTGATTCTTTTCTCAAGCAAACCTAACTCATGTCAATTTATCTCATTATTAACATTAAGCAGGTGATCAAAGGACGGTGCTTGCAAATATCAAAGGGACTAGTAATTTTGGGAGCCTCCACTTATTTTTCTGTGATGGTGAGTAGAAACAGAAGTAAGTTTTAGAGCTATCTATAGAAGCGTGCATGCCTGCTTTCTCCCCATTTCGCCTTTCCAAATCTCTTCTTACTCAGTTTCATGATGTCCTATTTTGTTGCTTTGACACAGACGATGAGACAAGAGAGAGACTCAGTTGCCCTTAACATTCATGTCTGATGATTCCATGGAAGGCCTGGGCGTTATTCTAAACCAGCAAAATGTGTGACCTCGATCCTCATCAAAGATTGCATGGCAACATGCAGAAGCAGTGCATGCCCTGGCAAGCTGTGCCCAGCGTGACTACGCGGCCACAGCCTGTCAGCGATGGCACACCTGACCGCAGGCTAAGGGTACCGTGAACTCAACCTCAGGGGCAGCACCCAGCAGCCAGCGCTCCCTCCATCCTGTGGAAAGGTGTTTATCGAGAGGATGTACGTGAAGGAAAACGTTACTGTGTACAGATCAGCTCCTGACACCCGCCTCGCCTCCCAGCAGACACTCCATCCCATGTAGACCCTCCAGGCCTCAGCACCTGCGGGAGGAGGCAGAGCTGGCTCTGGGCACTTCTCCGGGAAGGCATGTAGTCCCTCTCTGGCCTCCGTGCCTTCACGCATCCTCATCTCAGTCATGGCAGCTCTCTGCGTAATGGAGGCATCTTCCCGGCAATGTAGACACTCAGGGAGACGCAGCCCTGGGCGCAGCTCTCGATGCGACGCGCCTGCAAACCCAAACGGGTTGGGCTCCAGGATCCCACTTCGAGCCGGGTATTCCCTTTCTCCGGAACTCCTGGTGCCTCGGGTGTAGACAGCGGGCGCCTGTGTTCCGGGAAGGGCTCCCGGGATCCTTTAAAATCTGCGCTCCTGCAGAGCTGGGCCCGACCCCGAGTTACCCAGCGCCGCCTCGCTCTGCGCCTGTCCCGGGATGCGCGCGACCCACGTGAGCCTCCCCGTCCTGGAGCGAGGGAAGAAGCCCCCGAGCCCAGGCGTGGTCCCCAGACAGCAGCAGCCCGGCGCGGTCCCACGGCGAAACTGGCTGACGGAGGCCCCGTCCGCCCCGGGAGCGGGCAGCGCTAAGGGTTTGGCGCTGGCCAGAAACGTGGCGGGCACGGTCTGGGGAGGCGACAGGCAAAGGCGACGGTTCCTGGGAGGGGAGATGGAGGGGGCGCTGAGGATCCTCCCGGTCAGGCGATCCCTCCCGGCCCCACCAGGCTTAGCCTGTTCCCATCTGGATGCCCTTCAAGGCTCCCTACTTCCACGGTGCCTACTTGACCCCACATTTGCAACCCAGCAGACCTCTGGTGACCCAGCCGAGCCCACAGCCCCGCTCCTGCCTCTGCTGCCCTGGGTCCGCCCACCTCTTCCCGGGAGACGCAGACGGGTAAAACGTGTTTTCCACTGGGCGTGGGGAGCTCGTTGGCCTGCGTGCCGGGGTGAGCGGCCCAGGGTCCGGGGCGGGCGGAGCCACAGACGGACCCGGATTCGGGCAGGCCTCAGTGGCCGACTCCCGCCCCGGGCTCAGCCCACGGTGAAAAAAAAGATAAATTTCAGGAGTGGACTCATTAATGAGCCCGAAGACTGGGGTTTTAATCCAGGATACCAGCATGGGGATCCGGCAAGGACAGCACTGAGGCTGCAATGTGCCCTGAGGCTGGTCCCCCCTGTCCAGCTGCCTCCCTGGGTGCAAATGCACCCACCCGTTCCCCTGGGTCAGTCAACGAAAACCGCTGTACTGGCGTGTTAGCGACATGAAAGCACAGCATGTTAGTTTCATGCTCATGTTCAAACTCTCCATGGCAGAAGCAAGTATTCCAAAATGTCTCGAAAACACCAAGATATTTAACCCCAGGGAACCAGGGCTCCGGTATGCCATGGTCCTGAAGCAAAGCTGCTTGCAGGGAATTATGCGCCAAAAGACTATTCTCCTCTGGGGAGGGATGATGCCTCCACGGAAGGAAATCATGCACTGAGGCTTAATTTACATTTTAATCAAAAACAGGTCTCTTCGTCTCATGCCGGAAACAGCATGAGTTGTGCTCACGCTGGTCTGCTTGTGCTCGCGGCTGCTCGGAGGAGGCTGTTAAAGTCACGAGCCTCACCTAGACAAGGACACGGTTGGGAGGTTGGAGGCACCGACTTCCTCGGGGACTCTACCATGACGAGGATCTGTGGTCCCTGCTGCTTGGCCAAAACTAATGACATCCTCTCCATTAAAATTAATGTTTTCTAGGCATCCACGAAAGTTTTTCCTTGGAAACACCATTGGCTTTCCTGGCGCTAAAATCCCTCCAAAGCTGATCTAGGAAAGAAACATAACATCAGTAATATTCTTTAGTGATTTTCTGACAATTTGCTTAAAACATTTATGATTCATAAATGGGGCAGGCTTGGTCTAGATGGGTTAATTTTGTGTACTTCATAAAATTATTCTGTTAATTTTGGAATGACTCTAAGACATAGATTCTAAAACATCTATATGAGCTGATGTCAACTGGCGTCAGAGCCTCATGCTGTCATTTGGGGAAAAGGTAATTTAGCATCAAATGGAGCCCTTGGGAGGGGATGGGGCTGTTTGTACCGGGAGTTGACAGCAGGTGGAGGGGTGGCTGGACTCAGGGCCCTGAGGACACCAGCCCACCCTGCCAAAGGGAAACATTGCCAAACTCTTCCGGTTCTCTTAGAAAGTGGTTTCCCAGTTACAGGGCTCACGATAGTGGTGAGGCTCACGCCCATGCTGCAAATGCTCCTGCGAGGGGACGGGGACGGCATCTGCAGCCCTGAACATCATGAAGGGAACACCCATCCACTGTGCTGCTCTCCGCCTAGATGGAGTTTGAGCTGCCAGGTCTGTGCAAAGATGAGGAAGCTGCACCTCAGGGTCCAGGTCCGATGGCACAGCTCCGCCAGCCCCTGGCGGGTCTCGGAGTGCCTGTCCACCGTGAGGTTCAGGCCCTGGCCAGAGCACTCCAGCCGCACTGTGTGCCAGTGCCCATCATCCAGCAGGCTGCCCAGCGCCAGGCTACCCTGGCCAGGTGGTGAGGGTTGCGTGGCGCGTCTCGGGCAGAAGGGGGAAGGAGATGCTGTCAGGTCCTGGTCCAGAAGGGGAGGTCAGCACTTGCCCTGGGGAGTGGCTGCATCTGACCCTGGGCATGAGGTCCCCACCCCGGGCAACCCCATCCTTGACCCTCTTTTTCACTCACCTTCACGAGTCTGTCATGACTCCTTTTTCTGAAAATCGTTGTCTGTGTTGTGACTCTCCTTACTGCCGCGGGTCAGCTTTGTCCTCTGCAGCATGGACAGTGGTGGTCAGTCAGGGATCATTGTCCCCAGGGCACATCGGGCCATTCTGGAGACATTTCTGATGGTCATGGCTTTGGGGCGCTCCTGGCGTTGGGAGCAGAGGTGGGGCAGAGAGCAGGACACTGTCCACCCTCCGCCAGTGCAGGAGTGGCCCTGCCCAGAGCATCATCTGGCCCGAAACGTCTGCCAAAGGGGGCTGGGAAACTGTGGGATGGAGCTACAGAGTGGCATTGAAGGACGTGAGAGCCCAGTGATCCCCTCCCGTACAGCGGCCCCACCTGCGCCATTTCCATGAGCGCCAGAGGCTCCTTGCTCCGTAATGACTGCTTAAAGATTACATGCAAAAATATTTCGACATAAATTATGTCTAAGTAATCAGATTATTGAAGTCCTTGACTGATAATTTTACCTGAATTTATGAATAAAATGAGTTTTCCTTTCACTAACTCCAGGGTGATGCAATTTCCATTCCGTCCGTCCCTGTGGAATAGAATCCCCTCACTCTGCAGAGTTTTAAATTTCAAAGAAATGACGTCTGTTCCTGGACTCCTGGTATTTTGAATAAATCGGGTAAAGCAGGAACTTTCTCCTATTAAACAATCACTTGATCCTGCAGAAGAGATAAAAGCTGAAAGAAGTGTTAGCATGCTGCCATTAACACTCTTAAACACACAGAGTCTGTAGGCACACGCAGGCGCACACACACAGGCACACGCAGGCACACACACAGGCACACAGGCAGGCACACACACACAAAACCATGCACATACAGGCACACACACATGCACATGTATATATAAAATCACACACAGGCAGGCACACACAGTACACATGTACAAACTAAAATTAAACGCAACAAAACCATGCACACACAGACATGACATGTGCACAGAAACTAATACATGTGCACAGCACACAGACATGCACATGTATACACAAAACCACGCACACAGGCATGCAGACACACAGGCACACAGACATGCGCATGTATACACAAAACCATGCACACACAGGCACACAGACACATATAGACACACAGACATGCGTATGTATACAAAAAGCCAACACACACAGGCACATATATACACAAAACTTAAGCACACAGGCACACAGACATACACACACAAAACCATACACACAGCACACATACATACAAAACCATGTACACACAGGCACACACAAACACACAAAATGTGCAGCACACACACACAAAATGCACTCAAGGAAAGACACACACAGGCACATGAGCACACAGGCACACATACAGGCAGAGCCTGTATGTCCACACAAAATACACGTGCCTACAAAGAACGTATTTCCAGTCCAGCCATCAGACGCAGGCATCTTTCCTTCCAGGCAGGTTGTTGATGCACCAAAGATACATTTTTTTCAAAGTCCGTCCCCTTGGGAATCTTTGTGCCGCTAAGTGAACGCTCGCGCCTCAATCGATGCCTACCCCGGGCTGCGTGTCACTACACGGAAACTCTTGGTGCAGCAGCCTTGAAAAGTTTTCTACCTTCTGGCGACTGTGACATTCAAAACGTCTCAGGTAACGAGAGTGCTGCTCCTGGCAGATCTGACTTCTCCTAATTCTCTGGTCCATCCTCCTGGAAGGGCTGTGCGTGTTTTCCTCTGTAATGGATCCTCACCTGGTGGACACCCCCTCACCCCCGGACTTCCACGTGAGAGACCCAGTGGCACACGTTAGGGGCCCTCCACGGCTGGCGCGTCTCCCACCGGAGGCTGGGGGTGACCACTGAGCCTGCGCTGGCCCTGTCCTTATGGGCAAGGGCTGCTGGGCGTCCTGCGTTTGGCCCAGGCGCTGCCACGGGGTTCTCCACCCGGACAGCATCCTCACGTGCTTCGCTCTCCAGGCCACATCACTCATTCCTCTGTGGAAAACATCAGGGCATCGCACACCTGCTGGGAGCAGCTGTCGCGGGAAGGAGCTGCAGCCCCTTCCGTGTGCACAGTTGGGGAAGGGGAAGGAAGGAACGCCTCCTTGGGAAGTGGCTGCAAGGCCCTGTGGGGTCACAGGGAAGCCCCTCGAATTCTCAGAACAGGGTGGTGTTTGCAAAGGACCACGTAGTCCTGTAGAGCCTGGCAGGGTTTGGGTTTGCCTCCACTCCAAACCTCAGAATGTTACTGAACTGTTATTGAGTGTTGCTTTTGAAGTGATATCCCTGGTGGGGCCTGGTGGGAGGTGACTGATCCTGGCGCGGTCCTCATGATGATTTAACACCATCCTCCGTGTCTCGGGATAGTGAGTGAGCTCTCCCTGAGATCCTGTTGCTTAGTGCACAGCGCCTCCCCGCCTCTTGCTCCTGCTTTTGCCATGAGACGACTTACCATTCGCCGTCCACCATGAGTAAAAGCTCCCTCGAGGCCTCCCAGAAGCAGATGCCGCCATGCTTCCCGTACAGCCTGCGGGAACGCGAGCCCAAACCTCTTTCCTTATACACATTACCTAATGACTTGGATCGTCTCTTTACAGCAATGCAAGAACAGACTAACACAGATCCCCAAGCAATGGGGCAGGCAGGACCGGGAGGAGAGTGGCCGCCAGGGGACCCCACGGGGCCATCCTGCGGCTGGCCCGGCTGCAGCTCACAAGGTGACTTCTTAGGCAAGGGAGCCCAGAGCACAAAGGGCTCAGCCGCCTCTCCATGACTTCACCTCGTGGCCCTCCACACTCCAAACCAACCTGCAGGAGGGTCTCTGATGCACACAGGGACCCGCAGAGCCTGCTACAGCCAGAGACACTGACACACACCCATGCACAAGCACAGACACAGAAAAACAAGTATGTACGCACAGGCACACACAGAGACGACAGGCACACATGGTATATGATTGTGTGTGCTGTGTGTGCATGTGTGTGTGTACGATTGTGTGTGCATGTGTGTGGGTATGATTGTGTGTGATGTGTGTGCATGTGTGTGGGTACGATTGTGTGTGGTGTGTGTGCATGTGTGTGGGTATGAATGTGTGTGATGTGTGTGCGTGTGTGTGTACGATTGTGTGTGATGTGTGTGCGTGTGGGTATGATTGTGTGTGATGTGTGTGATGTGTGTGGGTATGATTGTGTGATGTGTGTGCATGTGTGTGGGTATGATTGTGTGTGCTGTGTCTGCATGTGTATGTGGTATGATTGTGTGTGATGTGTGTGCATGTGTGTGGGTATGATTGTGTGTGATGTGTGTGCATGTGTGTGGGTATGATTGTGTGTGCTGTGTGTGCATGTGTGTGTGGTATGATTATGTGTGATGTGTGTGCAT